TGACTACGAACAATTCTCAAGACCTTGGGAACTATCTCCTAGGCCAACCGAGGAGATCAATGAAGAGGGAAGTGAAGAGGATGACGAGGGTAATGACGATGAGCAAAACAAGGAAAAAAATCAAGAGGACATAGGAGAGGAACAAAACAAGGAAAGCAGTGAAGAGGACAATGACACCAATGAGGAAGACAGCAGTGAAGAGGACGACGACGAGGGCAATGGCGATGACCAAAACAAGGGAAAAAATCAAGAGGTCAGAGGGAACGATGAGGAAGACAGCAGTGAAGAGGACGACGACGAGGGCAATGGCGATGACCAAAACAAGGAAAAAATCAAGAGGAGAAAGGAGGGGAACAAAACAAGGAAAGCATTGAAGAGGTCAAAGGGACCGATGAGGAAGACAGCAGTGAAGAGGACGACGACGAGGACAATGGCGAAGACCAAAACAAGGAAAAAAATCAAGAGGAGAAAGGAGAGGAACAAAACAAGGAAAGCAGTGAAGAGGACAGTGACACCAATGAGGAAGACAGCAGTGAAGAGGACGACGACGAGGGCAATGGCGATGACCAAAACAAGGAAAAAAATCAAGAGGAGAAAGGAGAGGAACAAAACAAGGAAAGCATTCAAGAGGACAAAGGGACCGATGAGGAAGACAGCAGTGAAGAGGACGACGACGAGGGCAATGGCGATGACCAAAACAAGGAAAAAAATCAAGAGGAGAAAGGAGAGGAACAAAACAAGGAAAGCATTCAAGAGGACAAAGGGACCAATGAGGAAGACAGCAGTGAAGAGGACGACGAGGGCAATGGCGATGACCAAAACAAGGAAAAAAATCAAGAGGTCAAAGGGACCAATGAGGAAGACAGCAGTGACTCTAGCGAGGACAATGAAGATGAGCAAATCCAGGAAAACAAAGACGAGGACGAGAACACTAACGAGAAAGATGGGCAGTGAAGATGAGCCAACCAAAGTCCTTAGTACTTAGCTATGTGTGTTTGCTTTTGTGCTTGTATGTTTTCGAATTAGAATATTATGATGCACCAGTGTGGGCTACATGCATCTAAACTTAAGCATTAATCGTGTTATGGATGTTTGTTTTATAAGACAAATGTAAAGCTTTGACTGCTTTTTACTTTTTGTTAACAGGGTATCTCATCTGATATGATGTACAGTTACTAGAGAAGGATCTATGTAATGCTCGTGTCAAGCTTCAAAGAACATTATGACTCATCTTTTCATAAGCTTGTAGTTTTCACAAACAGTATATTATGTTACTTGCACCATTATAATAAGTACAAGGGTTAGTTGTACAGGTGCATGTCTGTGCAGACTATTTCTGGAAATCTCACGGCCAATTCTGGAAATCCCACGGCCGTGAAAGAAGACGTGGTTTTGGATATGTAATTCTGGAAATATCACGGCCGTGAGATAGGCCGTGAGATAGGCCGTGAATGTAAAAACGCACGTCTCAGTTTCCCAGAGGGTTTCACGGGTTGCTTTCGACATTATCACGGCCGTGAGATGAGCCGTGTTTTGGAATTGAATGCTGTACCTCTCACGGCTCATCTGTTGATTCTCACGGGCGTGAGAATAAGCCGTGTGATTGTCTGGAGATAGGAAAACTACTTTTGCTTGTCACGGGTCATGTCACGGCCGTGAGATGAGCCGTGTTTCCTCAAAATTGTACCTACACTTTCTAGAGTTGTACCTTTACACTAAATTTAAAGTTGTACCTACACTTTCCTAAAAATTGTACCTATACACTATAGTACAACTTAATGTTGTACCTACACTTTCTAACAAATCCCTCTATGGTACAACTCAAAATTGTACCTATACTAATGGTACAACTTTTAGTTGTACCTACACTTTCTCAAAATCCTTCTATGGTACAACCCAAACTTGTACCTATACCATGGTACAACTTTAAGTTGTACCTACACTTTCTAAAAATCGGTCTATGGTACAACCCAAACTTGTACCTATACCTTGGTACAACTTTAAGTTGTACCTACACTTTTTCAAAATCCTTCTATGGTACAACCCAAACTTGTACCTATACTAATGGTACAACCTTAAGTTGTACCTACACTTTCTCAAAATTCTTTTATGGTACAACTCAAAATTGTACCTATACTAATGGTACAACTTTTAGTTGTACCTACACTTTCTAATAAATCCCTTTATGGTACAACTCAAAATTGTACCTATACTAATGGTACAACTTTAAGTTGTACCTACACTTTCTAATAAATCCCTTTATGGTACAACTCAAAATTGTACCTATACTATTGGTACAACCTTAAGTTGTACCTACACTTTTTCAAAATCCTTCTATGGTACAACCCAAACTTGTACCTATACTATGGTACAACTTTATGTTGTACCTACACTTTCTAACAAATCCCTTTAAGGTACAACTAAAAATTGTACCTATACGAATGGTACAACCTTAAGTTGTACCTACACTTTCTAACAAATCCCTTTATGGTACAACTAAAAATTGTACCTATACTAATGGTACAACCTTAAGTTGTACCTACACTTTTTCAAAATCCTTCTATGGTACAACCCAAACTTGTACCTATAATATGGTACAATTTTAAGTTGTACCTACACTTTCTCAAAATTCTTTTATGGTACAACTCAAAATTGTACCTATACTAATGGTACAAATTTAAGTTGTACCTACACTTTCTAATAAATCCCTTATGGTACAACTCAAAATTGTACCTATACTAATGGTACAACTTTAAGTTGTACCTACACTTTCTAATAAATCTCTTTATGGTACAACTCAAAATTGTACCTATACTAATGGTACAACTTTAAGTTGTACCTACACTTTCAAAAATCCTTCTATGGTACAACCCAAAATTGTACCTATACCATGGTACAAATTTAAGTTGTACCTACACTTTCTAACAAATCCCTTATGGTACAACTAAAAATTGTACCTATACTAATGGTACAACCTTAAGTTGTACCTACACTTTCTCAAAATTCTTTAATGGTACAACCCAAACTTGTACCTATAACATGGTACAATTTTAAGTTGTACCTACACTTTCTAATAAATCCCTTCATGGTACAACTCAAAATTGTACCTATACTAATGGTACAACTTTAAGTTGTACCTACACTTTGTGAAACAAATTCTTCAATGGTACAGCTGAAACTTGTACCTATACTAATGGTACAACTTTAAGTTGTACCTACACTTGTATACATTGATTCATTATTTACAAGATTGCCATTAATGATGTGGGACCAGTCATTTAGTGGGTTTACCTCCTCAATAGGTCACCTTTTTTTTTTGTTTTTTATAGCATGGGTGCTATAAAGCACACTAGAAGGGCTCATTAAAATTTAGCTGAATTTGGTTTGTATTTACGAAGAGGATATATTATCCCCGATTACCAGAAAACTGCGAAGTTGGGGATGGAGATAAGAAACTTCCACTGTATTAGAATTCAGAAAGACAGCAGGAGAAGTAAAGTCGGTTGAGTCATGGAATGGAAGTGTAGGAGAAGTAAAGTCGGTTGAGTCATCCCACATTCGCTAAGATGATCCAGCAGGCGGGCAGGTAGTTGGTTGATGCCCTCCAAATTATTTCATCGTAATGACTGCTTGATAGAGGTGGCAATTAGGATCCAAATTCATGAATCCAATCAATCCGTGGATTCAAATGGCAAGTTACGATATGGTACCTATATTTTTTATATTTTATATTTTGGTACCTAAAATTTATATTTTTACACTAAAAATATCATTGGAAAATTACATTTTGGTACCTAAAAATTTTCATCATGACTTTTTAGTACCAAAACTTTTCAAATTTTACATTTTGGTCCAAGCCTTTGATGTCATTTGGATTCATGGATCAATCTACCAATCCATTTGATCCAATCCATGAATCCACCAATCCATTTGATCCATGGATCTGCCAATCCAATCCACGAATCCACCAATCCATTTGATCCATGGATCCGCCAATCCAATCCACGAATCCACGAATCCGATCCAATTGCCACCTCTACTGCTTGATCATGCATCGTCTAGTTGTTGGGATGAAAAAATCAAGGTCATTCCCAATACTAATGATAATTGTCCTCCCCAATACTCGTGAGTTGTTGTTTTATTTTTTGTTGTATAAGAGACGACATGTTGTTCCTATAATCATGAGTTGGAGAACAGTAATACATCATCCTCTCTTTCGTAAGAGGGACACTATTTTGAAAGAGCTGAACCCCTAGGAGAGCATAGAGAGAAGGAGATTTTTGGAAGAGCAGAGCTTGAAGAGAATAAGAGGAATGCTTGAAGAGAGGATTTCCTAGCTTGGATTTCTATCTAATGGTTTTCCTTCTCCTCTCTCTTGTTCTTCTTTTCCACTTCATTGGGTAATTTCTTAAGGTATTTTGGGCTTAGTCCCCCAAATCATAATTTAGGATTTAGTGTCATAATTGGTAATATATGGTTTCATTGAGTTCAATTAGTGTGCCCAATGCTTCAACTTATATTTGCAGGTGTTTTGCCATGTTTGATAATATAGAGATTTGGCTTAAGTTGTTATAATCATTTGATCCCCTATTTTGATTCCTCGCCTTATTGATGCCTCTGGAGTGTTTACATGACCATTGAATCATTCAATTGGTGTGTTAACAACTTATTTAGAGATGGTAGTTTGTATCCCTAATCATGGAATTGGGCTATGTGTCTTTGGAAGGGAATCGAGAGACATGACCATTACACTGATTCCCAATTAGCAACTCTCGAGCCTCCACTAAATCGATTTAGTTGAGTACCACTTAATGTTGTTTCAGCACCGACTCTGGTCAGATGTGGTACAATTGATCGGCCTGACTATAGTTTGGCAACACTGATGATAATAGATTGATCACGACATATTTGCAAAAAATTAAAATTTTATTTATATTAAAATAAAAAACTAAACTGAATAAATCGCAACACGATGGACGTTCACTTAATTCATACTGTCAATGCGAAGAAAGAGCACAAACAAATTAGGAGGGTGGATTCTCCTGCGTGCGAGCGAGAAGAGGGAGAACTCGTTGTCGGCGGAAAATTCCGATGATAGAGGGCAGAAGAACCACACCGCCAACATCGGTGTGTACAAGGTCGATGGCTGTTGGGTGTTCATGGGCAACAGTCTGGGCGATGAAGGACCTGACGGCGGAAGGGCGGCGCTCATGTGCACATCGTGCGGCTGCCACCGGAACTTTGACAGGCCGAAAGTGGATCCTTCTGCAGTTGTCTAACCAGCAGAGATCTACCGTCGCAGAAACCGAAACCGCAAGCCCAGCAACGGTTCAAATCTAGCAGTATTGGCAATCACCTCGTCGTTGCCACCCTCTCCCTTTTGTTCGGCGGCTGCGCCTCCGCCCATCCAGCTTCTCAACAGCAGATGGTGTCCCCGTGAACGGTCCACGACGAGAGAGTCATCGACGGCGCCAATTTCAGCAGCATATCACTGCTGAGATCCGCCGGAATAGGAACGGAAAGAATTAGGACGGTTACGGTAACAGGTTATTTATTTTTTATTTATTATTTTACATTGTGCCCAAAATCGGAGTTTACAATCCCCCACTTACGAGCATGACGAGGTTCAAGTTGTTTATTATTATTATCATTATTGTTTTGCGACATATTAAAAAAAAAATTACTAACTCCAGATAAGTCTTACTCACTCCTCCATTTTCTTCCTTATTTTACTAGTCACGTGCCCGGCCGGTTGGCCGGATTCGTTTATAAATCATAAGAGGCTGTGGTCGAATGTATTTTTTAAACTCTAAACTCTCCCGTGGATTTGTCCCGATCGTAAAATTGGAGGCTTTCGGACAATGAGAAACGAATTTATCCTTATTGTAAGGAATCACACATTCATAGTCCATATGAATTTTACTTCTCCCTCGACCAAATGGGCAAATAACGAAACATTCTTGTCTCCTAACTCAAAATAATAATAAAAATGAAGAATTAAATTGAAAAAGGTAAAAGAGAACACAACTTCAAGAGGCTTCTCCACCACACAGTTTACCTAGTTCAACAACTTTGGGCTGAAACTCCATTGTGCTGTGTAGACTGCAGATGGAATTGAAGACTATGCAGTCCAAAGAAAGCAATGTTTGAAGCCCTGCTTCAACCAATTATTTCATCGAAAGAGAGTTTTACCTCAGTCAATTTACATAGTATTTTAGAGAGCGTTCATGTGTGGATGATAAAGGAGTACGGTGTGGAGAGTAGTCGGATGCCTCATCATCGGATACCATCATTAGGCAACAGTGGCTTATAATTAATGGTTTCCGATGTTGCCTCTTGAGAAACCTTATAGGAAGTACAAACATAGCCTTTCATTGAAGAAAAACAACAGCATAGTACCAAAATCATTACGAAATGAAGAGAGAAGAAAATAGTTTAACCGACAACCTTTTTAACCATAAATATGAAAAGAGAATAAAATAGTTCAACCGACATCCTCTTTAATTATAAATATAAAAAGAGAATAAAATAATTCAACCGACATCCTGACCGACTAAATCCTCATACGAAAAATGAAAGAAAAAACCCATGAAAGGTAACCGACTCCTAAATTTGTTTTAAAAGAATTCTTCTATTTACTCCTCATCGTCGTAGACAACTCCATGTTTCCGTTTTTTCTGGTTTTTTTCACTTCCTGCTCCATCGACAACATCAGTACGTCCATCCATAGTAGTTGCATTCTCGCCATTGGTGTCGCATTTTGATCCATTAAATGTTGACGCCTCCTTCTCTTGCATTTGGGGAGTTTCTTCATCATTTTTCTGCATTATATTTAGCACTTATTTTAGGTTGATCGCATTTTGATCCATTAATTTGATAGATCTCAATAATCTATTTCTCTTAGATTGTAACTTATCCATCTCACTTTGCAATCCTGTATAAGAATTAGGTAAAAAAAATTTAATCACAGCAGCATAACACATTAAACTGATAACAAATAAATCGAAAACAAACATGGAACAAATGGATTACCGGTAGGAATGTTCACCATTCTGCCATATATACGCTTCTGCCTTATATAAATAGCACGTTTCCTTCTTGCTAATTTGGCCAAAGGATGATTAATTCTCTTCAACTCTGACTTATAGAGGTGGCAAATGGATTGGATTGGTGGATTGGTGGATTGGATTGGTGGATTGGTGGATCAAATGGATTGGATCTAATGGATTGGTGGATTCATGGATTGGATCAAGTGGATTGGTGGATTATCCATGAATCCAAATGACATCCTCAACCAAGGACCAATATGTAAAATGTAAAAAGTGTAGGTACTAAAATGTTACAATGAAAAATTTTAGGTACCAAAACGTAATTTTCCAATGATATTTTTCGTATAAAAATTAAATTTTAGGTACCAAAATGTAAAAAATAAAAATTATAGGTACTAAACCGTAATTTACCAATGATCCATGGATCCAATCCATGAATCCACCAATCCAATTGGATTTGGATCAAATGGATTGGATTTAAATGGATTGGATTAGGTGGATATTTTTAATGGATTGATGGATTGGATTGGTGGATTGAATTGAAATTGCCACCTCTACTGACTTATGTGCAAGAATTTCTAAAATTTACATTGAAGAGTAATGATTTTGTAAGTTCAAACATTGTGAAATAGTTAAAGAGATTATATCAGTTCTTAATTCATTGATACTTCGTTATGGAAAAAAACATTTAATAGATAATCATACCATCAGAAATTTTATTTTGTGCTTCAGATAGAGACTGATTAGAATCCACTACACCTTCTGGTGGTAAAAAAACAGCTCTCTTATACCCTGATAAACACGTGAAATGAAACATATTAAATTGCAAATCTATATAATTATGCTAAGACCAATATTTGTACTTACATTCAATTTTTAATGGTCGAATTGACTCATTATTTGAGACTGTCGATGACTTCCCATGGGGAATACTTCTTCTTCGACGCATAGAACTTCAAAAAAAAAAAAAACATGAAATTTGCCTTAATGCACAAATAATGAGCAAGACGAATGTTAAAGGAACACTTGACAACCACTTACAGAGAAGGGATAGTAATAATGTACAAATAATGAGATATAGAGAGGCATGATTAAGAAAGAACATAAGATTCGCCTTCGACAGCCAATGCAAGCAAGTATATGTGTAATTTGAGTTATAGGAGTTCATAACTCACCAAAGAAAAAGGATTACAGTTGTGTACCTTACTGTCAATCACTTAATTGTATTCGAGTGGTGGAAGAAAGACTGGTGGACTGGTGGAGCAGTTGCGCTCGAGTGTTGCTGTTGTTGTTTTCAAGAGGTAGACTGGTGGTGTCTCTGATTAATCAGATTACAATTGATTACAATTTAAAGCTAATAAAGCACAGTGCATATATGACATACAATCCGACGAAAACATGAAACTGAGAACAAAATGAGTATCCATTCGTCCAGAAGCATCCAAAGATAGTCCATTCAGCAGCTGTTTGAATGCAGAAACAGGCACAAATGGATCCTTACAAATATCATAACTGATGAGTCTTTCAGCAAACGGCCATATATTTGACAAAATAATTGAATTCTTCCCACCAAGCTCGATAGATACAGGCTGTTCTATAGAGTTAATCGCTTTCTTTAATTTTCAAAACCTATACTTGCAAACAGCATTATTACAACACCACCAGCTAGATAAACTAAGAAGATGTCACTGCCTTAGCAAAGGCGCCAACCATCAGAATCACTCCTTGGCTAATGAGTACCTGCAATATAGATAGTCTAATTATTTGCGTGTTTCCCAGATTAAAGGCAACAACTCAATGTCGGTGTTTCCCAGATAGAGTTCTTGTAGAGATACTAAATTGTTGATGCTAGATTGGAGGCTTTTGAGATTTCCACACTCCTGTATCCAAAGACTGGATAAACCTTTCACAGGCTCTGAGATATCAGGAAGACTCTCAAGAAGTGGGTTGCCTCAAATATAGAGACCAGACGTGACCATGTCCCATAAATTATTTGGCAGCCAAATATAATCCCATACAATGCTGGATAGAATTGTTGATCCCACTTCTAAATGCGTAAACACATAGGAAGCAGATCGTGTGGTTGTTTCCACCAACGAAAGTAGTATAACAATTACAAATCCTCCAATTACCTGTCGTTAATAGCACAAAAGCACAATTAACTGCTTCTAGCGACATAAATTGAATCAAACAGTACTGAACCGGTTGTTTTTTCACATCGGATTACAGATTCAAATGAATTAGTTATCACCCAATCTTAGCGAATCAAATTTTGGCAGTATCTCTGAAGAATTCATCTCTTTCATTGCAGTATCCGACAATTTAAACTCGCTCAATTGATTTCATGGTCAAGTTAAATGGTGATCTATGCTTGTTTAGGGGTTTCTGTCAATTTGAGAGCAGGTTGTGTTGATTTTGATTCTGAGTTTTATGCTTGGTCAGTATGATGGTTGACTTGATAATTTGGATTTGTGGGATTGCTCTGTCGTCTTAGAAGTTTTCTTATTGTTCCAAAAGTTGGAAAGCTGTATGTTTATGGTTCAAATCTAGAAATCATTGATATAGTTTGGTTTTGGTGGTCTTTGGGGGTATTTGGGATAGATTTATGGTTTGTGGTTTGGAATCTGATGGCCCTTTATTGTTTTGTTAAAAGAAAAAAATCATTGTGTGTGTCTTATGATAATTTTGAGTTAGATAATGGTGGTCGAATGGTATGTTTTCTGGGTTGTGATGGTTAAGAATCTAGCAGGGGATGGAAATTCACTACTCATTCATTCTAAAGTCTAGCCAAATAACACTCAAACAATCTGACTAATAAGGGTTGCAAACAGAAGAATATTTGTTCTGAGGACACTATGAACTCTAATGTATATATACTGATTCATGAACTCTAATCTGACGAATATAGGTATGGAAGTGGAAAGAGAGAGATACCTCGCCTGTAAACTCTAGGACCAGCACTGTATGCTTTTTACTCGGAGCTAGGGCTGGTGCAATCGCCGTGAACGCGAGTATCCCTTTCCTCAGAATCGATTCCTCTGCTCCTAACTTGACCGAACTTGAGCACCCACCAACTAAACGACCAAGGGGCGAAGGAAGGGGAAACAAAATCTCCAAGCCCAATCTATTCTTTTTGAACACAACACGGGCTCCGAGTTGATGCTCGATTTCCCGGTTTGGATAAGTTGCTGTCCTTGAAGAATTCCCCTGACACCCCTTTCACTTGCGGATGCAGAGCCACATATAGGTGAGTTGCAGCTCCCTGTATTCAACCATCAAACATACACTGTTATGTTACATCTAAGGATTTAACCCTACTCCAAGAAAGAAACTTCAGCTTCACAACCAATCAAGTAAAGCAGGAAACCACTGTGCGTGTATTCTGTACAGTACCTGGATCGAAGTTTTGAGGAGGTATGCTCGATTTCCGGTAGCTAAAGAGACTGGAGACGCGAGCTGAACTGGAGGCTGGAGGAGGCGATGGGCGCGGTGAGTTGGCCCGGCAGCGAGAGAGTTGGGGGATGGCTAGAGATGCTGGAGACAGGAGCGGTGAGCTGGGCGGTGAGGCGATGACGTCGCGGTGAGGTTGTTTGGGCAGGAGCAGATCGAGTTCGGCGGCGGCTGGCGAGCGGTGAGGTTCGATTTCGGTGAGGATCGATTTCCGGGTGGTACAGACTACAGAGGCGACTGGCGAGGCGATGACGTCGCGGTGAGGTTGTTTGGGCAGGAGCAGATCTAGTTCGGCGGCGGCTGGCGAGTTGTGGTTCGTTTGGGAGAGATGGCAAGAGGGAAGAGTATCGGTCTGTAATGGACTTCGAGTGACGGAGCTTTGCATTGGGCTTTGAGGGAGGGCCCAGACATTAGCCAACGGAGGCATTTTTTATACGCGGCCCATCACAATGGAACGGAGCCAAAGGAGCCATTTTACCAAATTGGCCTCCCGTGAACTGCGCAGAGCGCAGGAAAACACAAATTAAAGGTGATGCTGGCTGGAATCTCTATAATGTAGTGTTAGGATTATTATTTGTTTTCAATTATAATTTGTAACTCTTTTAGAAAACAAGGTTTGGTGCCCGGCAGTTTCCCACAATCTCGCGACTTTCGCCTTTGTGCGACTGGTCGGTAACATCTCCGACAAAGCTCCTCTACAGGGATTCGCTCCATCATTCTCCGACAACATCACAGCGGGGGAAGTGGTTCTTAGTGTTTGTGGAGCATCTCTGGTAGAGGTATGTTGGTACTTGAAATTTGCTTTGTTCCTTTAGAAGTCGTTTGTGTGTTCATCTTGTAGGTAGCTTGCACATAAACTCTACTATTGGCCTATTGAAGCTTGACTTATGGGAGATATGAAGGCCCTACTCAGCGGATGAGTGCTTCAAGAAGTTTGTTGAAGGAAGACGCAAATTCGTTTATCTATGGTTTTAGGCATACTAACAGGGCTGCCCATTGAGTGGCACAAACGGCCCTTGCATCGGTAGCTCAACACTAGGTTGACTACCGCTTTTAATTTTCAAGAATTGTAATACCCTATCTATTTACGTTCTATCTATGGCAAAAAAAAAAATCGCAACACGATGGTATGGGGTCGTTTAAAAAAGAAAATTTGATATGAGGGATTTGGGCCAAAATTGCCCACTTAAAACCTTAGAAATTGTAAATCAGTTATTTTTCCAATTTACTTCTTTGTCAAGACATTAGGGATTCGGACCACAATTATGCAAAGCCCAATTTACCCTCATATACTTCCTCCTCAATCCTTCTTCATCAGCCTCGTCTTTCTCCAGACAGGTATGATGCGATATAATCCCATACCGAGCGATGAGTTGTTGAATTTTCTTACATTCCTCCAATTTCATTTCCAACTATGGTTCATATTTTATATATTTCGGGTTTCCTCCATGTTCAGACGAAGCTTTCAAGGAGGCCAAGCAAAGCGCGTTGGATGCGCTCTACAACGATTGTTTCTGATGGGGGACGATGAGCCAAAATAGTTTTCCCATCAGTCTCACAACACAAAGGGTTTTTATGACAGGACCCTTGTTTACAACATTGGAATTGACGCGTCGTGGATTGGCAACAGAGGCGATAACGAAAGTAGTCTCGTTGTCGGAGGTCGAAGCAGGTCGGGCAATCCCCGTCGGTGCTAGACAGCGGTCTGAGTGGGTACTTGACAATTTTGAGAGGGCGATTAAAGGAATCAAAGGAATAGTGTATGTTGGGGGAGAAGGACGTTCGATGAGAGAAGGAAGAAGAAGGATGATATTCGTCAGAAGAGGGGAGAGGATAATTTTGGAAGTAACAAAAATAAAATGAGCGATTTCAAAAGAGCTGACTCCATCAGATCATCTAAACCTTGCCTGTTAAAAAAAACTCAATACCATTTAGGTATTAATTAAATTAAAAAATAATCATTAGCTTTATTATAACCGAAGACCTATTATTTAAGAAAAGATATGTGCTTCAAAATATAGTATTAGTGGCAAATACTAATGCCACTAAAAGGGGGGAAAGAAGGCAATAAAAGTCATTCGAAAGTCATTTTAGTTGAATATTTGTCTCAAATTCGTCAATTTGCAGCACATGGTAGCTGTCATCAACATCAGTATTGACAACACACATTTTGATTTTGGTATGATAATTGATCTATAGAGACACATAAATAACTTCCAGTAGCATATATGTTCAATCGCTAAATCCGATTTTCTTGTAGTGAGATTCATGGAGACTGATTTTGTCTTTGACAATATGTCATTTGTAGTTCTAACATTGCAATTTGGTTGTTGGTAAAAAGTAAAAACCCTCTAAAATCTCTTGTACAATCTTCTTCTATGTATAGTGTCGCTCTAAACAAGGTGATAACGTCGTATTTGCACATGTTTGCACCCGCATTTCTTGATCATTTTGGCTTGATTTTTTTCTTTCTTGGACTATTTTACGCTAGGTTGTGTTCCTTTGTCATATTTCAGGTCCTAGCAAATAAAGGGATGCATAGGCGCAAGTTTCGAGTCTTTTGGAGATCGTTTGGTCATTCGGGAAAAGAAAAACGAGCATGACCTGAGGAAGAATGGACTTCCACCTCATATTATGGACAAATAATCATGGAAGCTTGTCATGAAAAGAAAGAGAACGAGACTACGAGCGTCTGAGATCAAACGGCGACTGATTCGGAGTCCGAACGAGGGATAAACGAAGCATTAAACAAGAGCGGAGGAAGAAATACGGGCAGGAGAAATACGATCGTATTTTCCGCTCCCATGCCGGTATTTTTAGTGCCGAGAGGAGCCTTGGATGCGCTGAAACTTAACCAAAATGTGTGTTTTAGGCAAAATACGGGGATGGAAGAATTACGACCGTATTTCTACCCGTATTTCGCCCAGAATCGGGTTTTTGAGGCAGATTGGAGCCAAAGGTGAGGGAATCGAGTTTTTGAGCAAAAAACTGAGCTTTAGAGAGAGAAAGTGTGAAGAACAAACCCTAGAAGCTATTTGGAGTGGATTTCTCACCATTGAAGCCTAGATTGCATCCCCAGGAGTGAAGATCGACATCTCATAGCAGATTATCCCCATCTTTATGAGTATGACTGCTTTGACTTCTGTTTTCCTCTCTCTCTCCTCTTTATGGAGTAGAACCTTCTCTCACATGGGTATGAAGAACCTTAGTTCCATGTGTTAGGAATCTTGATTGTAATGACTTTGGATTGATATATTGATTGATTTTAATCGATTGATGCATGATTCATTAAGTCAATTGAAGCCTAATCATCTTTTCTTGATTTCTGCTGCAACCTGAGATAGATAGAATCTAATTAGGTTTTTAGAGCTTCAACAATCGGTAGTGGTAGATTGGTTATACGAGAGTTAATCGATTTACTGCTTTGTACTGGAATCCAATTCCAGTTGTGGAGTTCTGCGTTTATTGCCTCAGCAGTCTATCCCGGTGAAGGCTTGTCGCCTGCCGGTTAGTCTGCCTGAGAGGGCTTGGTCAGCTTAAGAGATTCCAAGCTACTGTTGGATCTTCCGCAGTTTAATCAATAGTAAATCAACCTAGGGTAATTACAACCTTGACCTAACTAAGGAGCTAGCACTACAGGAAAAATATCATTTAATCACGGTAAATCCCGTGTTTGAAAGTGTGTTTCCCGTATTTAATAGTTTTAGTCATGGTAAAATTACCGTAATATATACCTCCGTGTCTAATTGTAAAGGTCACGGGAAAGTGTTACCGTGACTAGTCATACTATTCACGGTATAATTCCCCATGATAAATGGTACTAATTAATCACAGGAATTCCAGTGACTAATACAAAATATTGGATCACAAAACCAACAAAAAAGCTCATTTAGAGACGAGATGTACACTTTCTTTACACAGTATTTACCATGATAAATTAATTACCGTGACTAGATATCCACCATTAGTCACGGTTTGCTTGATTCTCCTGTGTCTAAACACTAACCATTGATCACAGTATATTATTATGGCTAATGATAATTATTATATACACGCGTTGAAACAAGTCATATTAAGGAGTCCGACTAATGATAATGATTTTATATAAATAGCTTTAGTTCATGGTATGATGGTACACAACACAGTTACTTCAAAAGGGAAAAGAAAAACAAGAGCACAACTGACTCGGAATGGATGTCGGCTTTACAACAAGATCTGCTCCTTTCTATACATAAATAAGTTGCACAATGATGGAAAGGGACAAGTGCAAGATGCAAACTAAATTCTCTTGTGATCCATTATGACTAGCGCTTAATCTGCTGGTGGGAGTAGATCTGCTTCTCGATGTTGGTGTCAGCTGGCCTGCAAAAATCAAGTTCACTACATCATTACCCTGTTGAGTTACCATAGCCTAAGCTTCAATTTTTGTTAATGTATGTTTCTTCTTTGGCTATCTTCTACTCCAAACCTTTACTTCCTGTTGGTTTGAAGGAGCTTGAATGTGTCTGGTGCACTTTTAATCTATCTAATTATTCAATAAAATGTTATCACCATTACCAAAAAGGGGAAAAGCTAAATGAAGAAGCTTAGGTTGGACAACATTAAGTGTTCTGGATTCTCTAGGCATAAACTATGAAGGATCAAACTTATTGAGAAAGAAAAGGCAACTCAGCCTGCAGCAGCAGTATGAAAAGCTGGAAAGGGCAGTAGATTACCTGAAGCACCATCCATCTCAAACACAGCTACAAGATACTTACCTCTATCTCACCATGATGAACCTTAACTAAGCGTGGAACCTATATAAAAATGTATACACAACTGATTCATCAAAAGCATCTGTCTGTAATTGAACTCTAGCCTTCACAAACTTCTTCAGGTACTTTGCCATCAGCTCTAAATTACCCATGTTACAGATAATGTGAGTGCCACGTCCAAACTCCAAAGGATATAGCAATTATCAATAGTGAAGATCGCATCAAAGTAAAATCAGAACATCTTTAAAAAAAAAAGTAAAATCCAACCAGAATGCCTTAAATACAATACACAGAGACAGAGTGCACTGTTAATAAGCAACAGCAAGACAAAGTCGCAACAGGTTAATGGACAAACCTGAAAACAATACCTGTGATACTGGGTTGTAATGGATCATTGTTCTTTTCAGAAGCCCCATTACTTCAACCATTAATTTGGCATCGTTATGAACCTTAGCATATTTCTTCAGAACAGGAGGACAGTTAAACACGAACAACGGCGATAAGCACCCCCAAAGAAAAAACGATAAAAAACATATATCCAAGTCAAATTCTAATC